TATTCTCATTATGTGCCAAACTCTTTTATCAATTGTCTTGGATCATAAATCAACCAAGGAACTCAACAACCTCAAAATTTATGAAAATATATTTAGGGACCATCCTGTTAAAACAAATGGAATAATCCTCACATTCCCTTCATTAACTAATAGATGGTCACAGATAGTCCTTGACTTATGACCATAATAGAGCCCCAAATTTCCATTGTAAGTCTTCATGGTTGTAAACCAAGGCACCCACATGACTAACGTGATTTTATGATTTTTTTTGCAATAGTCGTTAAATGAGTGCCATAGTTGTTAAATGAATCAACATCTTCCTATAGGCTATATTTTGCTGGAAACAAGCCAAAAAAGGCTGGAAAACTGGAAAAAATGTCATAAATCAGAGTCACGTGACTACAGAATTCTACAACTGGTCATAAGGTGTGACGGTTGCCAAATACCCCAAATGTGATCATGTGATTCTGGTGTGTGTGGATATGTGTCACTATGCACATGTAGAGCTAGTAGAACTGAGTGATAAGTAGTTGGGGGGAGTCTGGAGGAAATGTTGAGGACCACCTGTATAAGTCCCAAATCAAAAAACAGAAATCTGCAAAGAGCCATCAATTCCACTGAATTTAATTACTGGATCATTTAATGTTCTGCTGGGCTCGTTAACCCTCTCTGTGGGGGAAAAAAGAGGGTCCATAAAAATAGATTATAACTGGAAAAATTCTGATGAAGCCATTTAAATGAAGTCTGGCTTTATAGGTAGTCCTTGATTAGTGACCACAATTGGGACTGACAACTTGATCAATAAGCAAGGCAGACATTAAGTGAAATTGCAACTGTGCTTATGATCTTACTTCAGCTTCCTTTCGCTTTACAGATACGTAAAGGTTGTAAATGCAAGGATGATCATAAAGTTACTTTTTCTTCATGGTTATTAACTGCAAATGGTTCTACATGAAGCAGTCAATAAGAGTCACCTTTATAGGTGACAGAAACTGAGGTATCTGTGCATCAGAAATTGGGTGCTTGTCTATCTTGCAAATGTTTTCATGTGGATATAAGAAGTAGCTAAGCATGTTATTTGCTACCCAAAAAGTTTCTTTTTGTATCATATTATACATCTATTTGATGGAGAAATTGAGTTTAATGAATATTATAAATTGTTACTTAAATAGTAATATGATGACTGTTAAGTATTTCAGTACAATTTATTATTTGGCTTAAAGGATGGAGAATAAAATCCAGCACAGTCACATACACGTACGTAGTCTTTTTAAGTGAACTTAATTACATTCACAAGCAAGAATTTAACAACTTTTGTATAATATCAGGTTCATTAATCAATATTATGCAAAACAATGGTAGGACAAAAAGTAAGGGGTTTTTTAAAACTTGAAAACATTTAAGTGGTCTAATTTTTGTTCTCAGACAATCAAAATTCCTATAGTCTGCGACATCAAATATAAAAAAGCATTACATTAATCTTCCAAAAGTTCAGGTTTTAAAGACATTGCATCATTATTTTTGTTAGCTATCTTTCTGATTATAATGCAGATGAGCACCAAATTTAATAAAACTAAAATAACACAAGCTATATATGAAGCATAACAGGATATTGCAAAGAGATTAGGCAGTTTCCTTCAGACTACTTACACAGCTCAAAGAATAAAGACAGAATGAACAAAAGCAAAGCATAACATAACATAACCCTACATAAATGAAAGGACACAATGTTGAAAAAATAATACATCAATTATACATTTTAACTAAAAATTTTAAAATATAAATTTTGGCAACAAATCCAGGCAACCCAAAAATATCAATAATGTCTTTATGACAATTTGTGTTCCACTTTTCCCACTCTGTTGCTGAGAAGAGAACATACTGGCTAAATTTAAACCAGCTGTAATGATGAGTATTACAGTTGGACTGAAGGGGAAGCTTACCTCATGAAAATACATTGTGGAAACTGCTGTTGGAAGATAATAAAAGGATTAAGTGCCATTTTAGTGGACCATTTACTTTTCAATCAAAATGTCTCATGTATTTCCTGTTCTCAAGTAGCCTGAATTCCAAAATTCCTTTGTCTATTACAGTACATAGTAGCAAAGACTGTCATAAGAAATTAATAATTTTACATAGAAGGGAGCTTTTATGCATGCAGACAGCAAGCTACTTGTTGCCAACTTCCCTTGAATCTGTTCAACACATATTTAACCAACAAATGATGTTGATCAGACTGGAAAAATACCCAGTTTCAAATTTAGCAATAATGTTGTTTCAAAAGACACTAGAAACAGTTGGGAAGGGGAGCATTTTCCAAGAAAAATTATGAGAGTATTTAATTTAGACTTTCTAAAAAACAAAAAAGACTCATTTTTAAATGAAAATTGACATTTACAAAGTAATTCTTCATTAAATTTGAGGTGCACAAAACATGAGTAAACCACAGTAACACTTCAGCCTCCAAATAAACTCCTAACCAACACTAATTTTTGAAGAGTTGCTTCCTTGGCTTAATAAATAAGGTTTTTAAAGCAATTTAAAAAAAATTAAGCTAATATTTTAAAAAGACCCATTTTGATAATCTACAATTGTTGTTTACTTTAGGGCTGGACTGTAAAAATAACTTTTTTAATTTTTAAATATTTAACTTTTCCTTTCCTTTTTAAAACTAAACATATTTTAATAATCTTGCCCGTAAGTCTTCTATAGTCATTAAAAAAACAGCACACCAAGCGTTTATTTTGTAATACTACATAAAAACTCAATTATGATAGGACAAAATACCCATTCAAATATACTGAATTGACTAAAATATACTGAAATGACTACAGTACTGAAATTTGTTTGTTTATACTGAAGAGTATACTTGAAATAGCCTAATATCTAGACCCATAGACTAATATACTATTTATAAGCATCTTCCAGTATTACCCATTATATGAGGTTAACATAATGACATAAAGATTTGTGTGACGTAACTGAATAGAAAAGTAACATTAAAAACTGCCACATAATAACGTACACATTAAAGGAAAAAAATATGCAGCATGTTTTCTGTTATTGAATAATTCCATAGTTCTATTCCACCTTTCAATACTGTAAAAACTTGAAACTTTGCTTTTAAATTATACTTTTAAAAGAGAGAGGGCTGTTTTCATATACATTTTAAAAGCAACCCCCAATATGGCTACACACATACACTGTTGAATAATCCAAGTATTTCCATTGTTTCAGATTTCTAATTTAGGAATATAGCACAATTATCTTCTTAAGACATAATGAAACTGGAGATTCTTCCCCTATCTCTACACCATCTATTTGTGCTGCTTAATGTTAGTGACAATTTTTGCAATCCTAAATGTTTTTCTAAATGCAATAACATCATCTATTGCAGTGGAAAGTTATGTGTACTACTTTATTATGCTTGGATTCTTGTCATGAGTATATAAGCCACATAATTTACTAGTATGAGGTCAATGGAAAGATTTAAAGGATGTTATACACAAAGAACAGTTTAGGATGGGATGGATAAGAAATAAGCAAAATCCCTGTTGTTTTAATCTTTTAAGAATATAGCATTCAGTATATTGGGCATTATATTAGATAACAAACTATATAGGAATATTTAGAGTAGAAAAAAATAAATAAATACTAAAATACAAAGAACAGTGTATAAAAACAAAGTATGTGTGTAATGACACATTTTGAACTATTCCATGAGTAGAAGAAACCACATATAGTACTTTAATTATTTAATTATTTAACTTTCTAATACAATCACCTGCATAATGAAACAGGAATATAAGAAAATAAGGCTGTCAGAAATGTATTCTCATCACAGTTATGAATATTTTGACATTATTTGTAACCCAAAGACTTTGCTTCTTAGGAACAGCATTTGGGAAAAATAAGTCCAACAACACTACCATATAACTTTTCAGTATAAAGTACATCTTAGTTTGAAAACTCTCACTCCAAAATCTGACCAGTATTGTACTTAGGGGCTACCTGTTTTTCCAAAACACACTCAACCACAACCCTATGAATAAACACCAATTCTTCAAAGTGATCCTTCTTTATGACTTTTAGTGCAGTTATTCCTTTCTAAACAATACAATTTGGGTAGCAAACAATTGTTCTTATATTTCACAACTGAGTTTGGAAGCTTGGTCAAATCTTGCTTTGTGGCTACCTACTCTATTAAGAGTTTCATATTATTGCGACTGAACTGCAAATCATTAGTTTTTATTTCAATTTACCACATAACTAGTAATTCATCCAGAGACAGTGCTTCTCTCAACATGTTGGCATTATGGTGCGGCTTAGATCTGCCTGATCAGAGAAGAACAGCTATAATAGCTCTCTTCTGAAAACTGTTTTTATATATATATTAAATAAAAGCCATCCCGAAAGTTATATTAGATGCTCAATTTTAGTCATTAATAATAATTACTAGGATTGTCTTTCTTTCTGCTATCATTTCAAAAGCTTCTGTTCAATTGGGATACTGTTCAAAAGCAAACTGAAAAAAAAAAAGCATTAAAATGTGCTTCATGTTTCTTGATTTAAAATATCACCCAAGGCACATTGACTCTCAGCTGTGTTTAACTCTTCTAAACTGCTTTGAACGTCCTATTAAATTTTTCAGTGGCCTTTTCAAATATAAACCATTTGTATTTAAAAGCTAAATTTGTTGCAGTGGGCAACAAAATACAACATGCCAATATTTATAAACAGTATTATATTATTTCCTCTCAAAAAAACAAAAATGAAGCATTACTATAGGGAAATAGCATAATTCTGATAAAATAATATTGTGCAATAAAAGAGCAGCTGGTTTTCAACAGGTAAGATACTGTTTCATAATATCACTATACGGGTTACATAAAACCCTGTAATTCCTATTGGAAGAATATTTTAGAAGGCAGGAAAAAAAGGGGGGGAGGGGGAAGCAATTCCAGAGTATTTCCAGTCAGATAAATACATTCCAGACTTACCATACATTTGTTTGGTTTTTCTCCCGAATGAACTCTCATATGAATTAGCAACTTGTAACGAGCATTGAAAGGTTTATACCGGCGAATGCAGCCTGTCCAGAAGCAAGTGAAGTCTTCTCCTTTCCTTTGATCAATATGAGTCTTTTCTATGTGCCGGACCAATTCATCTTGCTGATCATAGGCAGCACTACAATCAATCCATCGACAAATCTGCTTATCACCGCTGGCCTCCTGCTCATCACCTTCACTCATCTGAAGAGACTTTGGAGACATAGAGGCCTGTAAATGCGTTAGTGCTCCTTGAATGTGGTTTTGCTGCTCGTGTAAATGATAAGGTGGTGGCAGTTCTTGGTGATGCTGAAAAAGACTGGAGGCAGAAGTATATTCATCAAGTGGTTCCTGTTTTAAGAAATTCAACTTCTGTTTGCTGTGTAAAATATCTGGCTGAGGAGCAGAAGCAGTATTCATTATAAGGCAGAAGCTTGCATTCTCTCCTGTGTGCTGCATTGGGGAATGATCACAGTCCCCTCGGATAGTTTCAGTGGAAACAGGGACAAGGCATACTGAAGGGGAAGGAATATGGCAGTGGTTCCCAGATTGCGAGCAGGACTGGGGGCGAGAGGATTTCTGAGCACTATGAAGAGTGATCTCTCTAGGAGAAGAGGAAACACCAGCTGAATTAGTCCACAGTCCATTCACACAGGTAACCAGCGAAGTCTGTGATGTGCGGATGATAGTTGTAATATCAATCCCATCAGCAGAAGATGGCAGCACAGAGATGCATCTCTTCTTCAGGTTGCTTGCCTGTTGTTGACCTGAATGGTGAGGGCTGTTGAGTGACAAGGAGCCCAGGGAGGGGCTATGTTCATTATTAAACAATTGCGATGAAAGTGAATTGGTAAAGCTATTGTGGTCAACTTCAAGATGGAGGCCGCCTGAGCCTTTCAGTTCTATTCCGTCAGTAATCTCTCTGTGTGCAGAAACCTCAGATAGGCCCTTATAATCACCCAAGCATTCCTGTTTTATATGCTGAGTAGTGTGACTTCCATTCATGCACAGAGTGGTAGAATCTGCTGCGTCTTGGAATTGGAGAGGCCTGCAACACAGTTTCATGGATCATCATTAGGATGTTGAAAAATTAGCATTTTCATGCAAAGTGCAACATCAATTAAGCTTCTAAGAAAGGGTTGGTCTGAATTCTTTGTGTATGCTATCGCTCTATTGCATTATCTGCATTTGAACATTTTTGAATGCTTCCTCACTGGCAATAAAAAAGAAGTGCTATCTCTGGGTAGATAAGAGCAAACTGCACTCATACTAACAAAAGCACCACTACAACATCTTGCAAAATGCATTTTTTTTAACGCAAGCTATGGATTCAACAGATAACATAGGCAAAATACAGAGTATTATGGTAATTATATTCAGATCTTTCCAATAGTACAATTTAGCTCAGCTCAAGCAGAAATATCAATGATGTTACATTTATTTTAGGACTCTGGTATTACCTTATATGATTAACCAATGTTATTAGCCGTTTAATAAAGCTGTAAAATTATTGCTGCTCACATCATCAGATTATGCAATGGCTAAATCTTAAAGTGTTAAGATTAAACTGATATTAAACTGAAACAGGGACAAGCAGATGCAAGTTGGATATGGAACAGATTAAAAGTTCTGTATCTTATCAATTAATAATTGTAATATGTTAAAAACCATTGTGCTTGTTGAGACCTTTTGAAATTGTCTCTATTTACTATTATAAGAGAGCAGTTCTTTATTTTCCCCAATCAGTGACTTGTAGTCAATTTCATGAAATACTAGCATTAAGATAATTTAATTAATAAGCTTGCCTGAAGTACAAACACCATTCTAAAGTAGGTTACAGAATTCTTAACTACAAGTGTTGATTTGAAGATATATCCATGAATAAGTTCTGTGTTTTTCTCTCTCTCGTTCCCTCCCTCTCCCTCTCTCTCCTTTTTCTCCCTCCCTCCCTCCCTCTCTCTCTGTGACAATTTCCAATATAATCACTCTAATAAATCCCACAAATTCAAAATGTCATCTTAAAAAGATTTAGAATATTTATAATTCACTACAGTTTCTTTTTAAAATATTTTCATACTTTATTATTACAATGACTTAGATAAACATCTCCTTTTAATTTAACATTCTAATCCCTGAATAGATGTTCCATATATTCTTGATATAGAGCTCTAAAATATTAATTTTAGAATTCCCTTAGTTCAAATTCATCTCAAATCATGTCACTGCTTTTCCTTTAAATCTATTTAACAGCTTCCAAAACAATTTTATATATATTGATATTGTTCTGTATTTGAACAATTTTAGATAAAGTTTAGTCATCCCCTGATCTCCATGACTACATTCTCTGCATCTTTTTTCTATGCTATTATTACACAATAATATGCAGCAATTATTCTCTTATATGCATTTTTTCTTATCCATAGTTTCTTTCACTTCATTATTCTACCAACTTCCCATTAGTGTAATTTCATACTAGAACATAATAGAATAGCAGGGTTGGAAGGTACCTTGGAGGTCTTCTAGTCCAACCTCCCCTAGACCATTTTATGTCATGTGACCATGGTTTACAGTGTTTTGAATGAGGACCAGCCTTTACTTCCCATTTACACTTCTGTGATACTCAGTTTCACTCTGTAAAACTCTATGAAACTCATCCTGCAAATAATAGGGCTATGCAAATCCTTCAAGAGAATTTTTAGAATCCACAGGAGTGCGAACAGGCCACCTCTTCTAAATGGCTAACGCACTTACATCTTTTTTCTTTTTTGAGGCTTGATTGCTGCTCCTGGCTCTGTGGATAAATATCTACTTTGCATACCAGTTTTACAGCATACACTTCTAGAGATAGCTAGGAACATTTTTCAAACAAAAGAAGACATACAACATTAATAATTAAATTTTAAAAATGTTCTGAAACACCTCTTTCAAGGGATTTACATAGCCATAATAAGTAACACAGCAAGAGGTCCTTCCAACCTCTTTTTTTTCCAGCCAATAAAAAAGCATCAATAAAAGTACTTTTTTTCAGGGGAATATTAGGATAAGCCACTAGTTTCATAATAATTCTTCAGATATGAGTTCAATGACATTTATTCCAAGGTAAGGAGGCAGTAGTTTGGGTATCTGAAGCAGCTTCTTTAAAAAGATAAATATTCCTTCACTTACATTTCCTCCCTTCTGAACACTGCCTTATAATATCTTCAGGAAGAACAAATATATAATTTGTGCTCATGCTACAGGCCAAAACAGGGTAGACTCACTCACAAATCTACTCATTCTGGTCCTAGACACTGCTCAAATAAGTAAAAGTCTTAGATGAAAACACATCAGACAGTCCTAAATTTTTACTGACAGGCAACTGGCTAAAGTTGTTAATTTACCACTGTGAGGTAGCCTCTGCAAAAGGACATGGTTCCACCAGTAGGAAGAAGATGAATCCTCCATTCTTACAGATTAATGGTTTCAGCTGCTTGGGGCATGGGATTTGCGACCACATCACAGTATAAAAAGCATGGTGACTTTGAAAAAAAATTGTAGTAACATTGAGTTGTGCAACATTACATCTGGGTAACAAAAATGAAAGGCATATGTACAGAATCATCATAGACCCCGGCATAGAAATATTACATGTGGGTGTCCTTTTCAACCACAAGTTTCAACCACAAATATGAACCAGCAGTATGATGCAGCTGCTAAAAAAGCAAATGCTACTGCAGAAGCACATCGTCCAGTTTATGAGATGTCATTGTGATTTTATTCTGCCCTATCAGAGTCCCACCTGGAAAGCCATATCCAGTTCTGGGTATCCACAACTGAAAAACAAGAGGCAAACTGGAACAAATCCAAATAGTCAACTACCTGGAAATCTAGTCCTATGATGAATCTGGATATCTTTAGCCTACAGAAGATAGAAGAAAGATATGATAGTGGCCTTCAAAGATCTTAAGATCTGTCACACAGAAGAGGAAGTAGACTTTCTCTTTATTGCCCAGAGATTCAAGTTCAGAACTAATAAGTCAAAACTGCAGGGAAACAGGTTCATGCTTCACATCAAGAAAGATGTCCTATGAAGAAATGTTAATTGATAGAACAGATAAATCCAGATTTCAAATCCTAGGAAATAGACTAAAGAAATAGCTTAAGGGTTGTGTTTAACTTAAGGCAATGTGGAAAATGACAGAAAATGTCAACATCTTCCTCTCCTTTGTCTATTCTAGAGAAATTTACTACAGCTATGCAGTGCCTAAGACTAGAAGGCAAGACATTTGAAAATACTTTGGAGTGTCCCAGAGCCATCAGTCTGCAGCTCCTTAAAACAGCTACATTTTTTCCAGGGTCATGCAGCTGCCCTCTGAGGTCTATTTTGGCCTTTGAATCCAAAGCACCATGCTGGTCTAAAGTTTGCCATTTACTTGCCATTTGGCAAAAACAAATTTCAAGTCCTGGATCACCTACCATTAGATCAAGTTTAAAGGTATTTTACACAATTGAAGTGCATTTACATTTATCTTCGATTGACTTAAATTTGTTGCATATTTGATTTCATCTTAGCATGTAAGAATATTTTCCAACACACATGCAGTGTTGGATTTCATAGGGTAGGAAGTGTCAGGCAGGCTGACAGAAATAATGGGACAAAATGACAGATGAAATGATTGTACCCAAATGGAAGCAACAAGTACAACGTAAAGAGGATGGATACATTTGTCTTATCCCTTGTAATGGGGAGAATTCTCTATTTACTGTGAGTTGTAGGGAGATAGTGCACAAGTTGGTCCCTAAAGAATCCAGCACTAAAATTGTGCTTACAATGTTAATGAAAAGCACTGCTGGTGTTGATATTATATAATCCTAGTAATATATTGCTGCTAGGAGATAATCTAGAGTATTTTTATACACTTAAGATTTTGATTAATCAATCATCAAGGGAAAGCCTAAACAGAACAAATTATATCAATCTAATATTAAACACAAAGATATGTGTTCCTTGGATTCTTATTAGAAAAAAGGCAGTTGTTTCAATACTAGACAGTGGTATTAGATGTTTTGCCAAGCCACAACCATATTACCAGCATTATCTAGAACGCCAGGTGCAGTCATGTCTCCTTCCAGAAGCTTTCTAAAACTAAACACAAGTGATGAAATTAGGCTGAGGCTATCAATTACAAGCATAGATCACAAGTCACATTCAGCCATCAATTACTTCTTGAATTTCACTTTTTGAAGTCTGGTTTGTCAACTAGTCACAATGTGAATTCATAAGAACATTATACAGATAATCCTCAAGTTACAACAGTTCATTTAGTGGTCATTCAAAGTTGTAACAGCACTGAAAAAAGTGACATGACTGTTCTTCACACTGTTGCAGCATCCCCTTGGTCAGATGATCAAAATTCAGACGTTTGGCAACTGGTTCATGTTTATGACACTTGCAATGTCCCGCAGGGTCTTGTGATCACCTTTTACGACCTTCTGACAAGCAAACTCAATAGGGAATCCAGATTCACTTATACACTATGTTATTAACTTAACAACTGCAATGATTCACTTAACAACTATGGCAAAAAAAGGTTGCAATATGGGGCAAAACTCACTAAACAAATGTTTAACTTAGCAACATAAATTTAGGGCTAAATCGTGGTAGTAAATCAAGGACTACCTGTAGTCTGAATTAAATTTGAAGAATCAGTGATATGCCCCTCTATTAATATAGCTATGATCTCTAATAACAAATTTATATTGACTAGAAGCCCAATTAAAATTCAACATTAAGAAAACTAAGATCATGGCATCCAGCCCTCTCAATTGCTGGCAAATAGATGGAGAAGAAATGGAGGTAGTGACAGATTTTATTTTCCTGGGCTCCAAGATCACCACAGATGGGGATTACAGCCAAGAAATTAAAAGATGCTTGCTCCTGGGGAGGAAAGCTATGGCAAATCTAGACAGCATACTAAAAAACAGAGACATCACCCTGCCAACAAAAGTGCCTATAGTTAAAGCTATGGTTTTCCTAGTTCCAATGTATGTTTGTGAAAGTTGGACCATAAGGAAGGCTGAGCGCCAAAGAATTGAGGTCTTTGAACTATGGTGCTGGATAAGACTCCTGCAAATCCCTTGGACTGCAAGGCGATCAAACTGGTCAGTCCTAGAGGAGATCAACCCTGACTGCTCTTTAGAAGGCCAGATCCTGAAGGTGAAACTTAAATACTTTGGCCATCTAATGAGAAGGAAGGACTCACTGGAGAAGAAACCAATGCCAGGAATGATTGAGGGCAAAAGAAGAAGGGGACGACAGAGTATGAGGCTGGATGGAGTCACTGAAGCAGTCGGTGTGAACTTAAATGGATTCCAGGGGATAGTAGAGGACAGGAAGGCCTGGAGGAACATTGTCCATGGGGTTGCAATGGGTCAGACACAACTTCATGTCCAACAACAACAAGAAGCCCAATTAATTTGCAGTCTCTTTCAGCTTGCAATGAGGACATCCCTTAAGAAACCTACCATAATAACTTGGGCTTCCTTATCAAACAGTCACTTACTTTGGAGGGTTTGAATACGGTAATAAGGAAGGAAGCTATTACAAGTGTACAGTTCATTTGTGCTATGAAAGACAAGGCATAACCACTTCAACTGCTGAAGCATCATAGAAAATGTGTTAGTGATGGTTGATAGATCAGATGTCAGGTAAAAAGAACAAGGAGTGAAAGATTTTGATGGGAAACATGTTCCTTAAGTGTTGGATGGTTAGTTTTGCCTTTAAAGCAGTCAAAAATCTTTGATAGATCTTAGCAAAGAACAAAGAGGAGTTTAAACCAATGCTTTTATAACTTCACTGAAGGCTATCATATAAAGGCTTCTTTATATAATAATAATGTAAGGAACTGAATAACAATGAACATCTGACCTGTAAAGAAAATTAATCATTCAATTTCTCCAGAACCACCACCTGATTTGTCTTCTCTGGGTATTTTATAAAGTCTGTATATTTTAGAAATCTTCCTAACAGGATTCTACTGTAGTTAATACATTCACATTTATTTCTGTCTCTTCCCCCCCCCCCCCCAAAGAAAATGAATTGGGGGGGAAAAACAATGATTTGCAGTTATAAGCAAGCAGAAATGGCTCTCAAGAGTAGGAGAAGGAGGAAGACAATAGTTCTGAGGGAAATGCTTGAAACACAATGGGGAAAGAAGGGGAACGCTGATCACTGGGTCACCATAGTGCCTGTGATGCCAGAAACAGGAAAACTAATGACAAGATCAACAAACTGATATATATTCACTATTCAGTTACTGAGAAAATGGCAAAACTACAGAACCTAGGGAAGGTTTCAGCAGTAAAAGGAATTATTTCAGTCACCTGCTGCTTTATATCTCAATAGCATCTCTTTCATGTTCTGTGGCATATAATCCTGTGTTGTTCTGGGAATCTTCTCTGAAACAGAGTTGTAAGGAGTTCATATTTCATAAGGGAATACTATGATCTCCTGAATACAGACATCTGTCATTTCCTCATTATGGATTTTTCAAAAAGCTCCTGAAAAGATCTAAGCTGGGTCTTCTCTTCCTCCTTTTGTTTGCTCCAACCCCAATTACCTTTGCATCATAATTGTCGTCAATGACAGAATAAAACCAGCTTGTTAGTAGTAACCATGTGGATTCCTAACAAGATCAAGATGGCGTTAACATATATAATGAAATTAAAAACAGAAAAGCTTCATGACAGAATTAAAATTCTTGCTGTCTCACGCTGGGACTATAAAAACTGGCATTAGATAGTATTCCAGATAAAAGCTGAAGTTTTGAAGGTTATTTTGTCCACCACTGTTCAAATTTTCAAAGAAGCAAAATATTTCAAGGTTTGGTAAAAAAGAAAAGGCTTGGTGTTTATCCAATTAGTTACTCCCAATAAAGGAAGGGTATCTGTCAGCGGACAGAGAGGAGGCCTTTTCTCCTCATAGTCTTCAGCATGGGCACAAAAACTGGTCTAGATAGCTGAGGGAATCCTCCAAATTAGAGTTGGAGGCCCTGAGCTACAGAATATGAAGGCCAAATTTTACATGATATTTACAAGTGTATTTCCTCAAACATGATAAATACTGGAAATATATTTTTTATTTGTAGCAAATTCCTTCTTCAGTAGAAATTCCCTATCTACTAAGGAAGCAACTTGACTGAAAACTGGATAAAAACATTATTTTACAACACTAGTTTTAAAAGAAATGTTTCAATTTCTTAAATAAAATTGATCTGAAAATAAATCTGCCACTGATATTATCAGATTAAAATGACCAAATCAGTCAATAATCACAAAAATGTAGAAGTTTATATTTCTTTTTTATCAATAAAATGAATCAATAAAATTAAAAAAAAAATATAGAACAGTAATACAAAAAACATTAAAATAATAATTTGAAAATATATATGAAGGAGTTTATAATTTTAAAACTGTTTCCTACATTTTGAAATGCTTTGCAACAATTTATAATTTGGAAAAATAAACCTATAGTAGAATTACTTGCCAAATTTTGTCATTCAAAAGCGATTGAAATTGAGAAAATTTTGCTCCTTTTGTAAATGCGTGTGACCATCTTGCAGATTTTGACCCACCCACTCCACAAATGCGGCTTTGTGTTCAGAATCAAGTAATAGGCAAAACAATTGGGAATCTCTAAATAGAAGTAGGATTGTAATGTACAGTAATTTGAAGTGCAGCTATTCCGCTAAGTAATGATAAAGATATACTCTTACTCAAACAGCCCTTCCTAATGTCTAAAGCCCCATCCTGATCTCCAAAAATACAATTGCCATTAACTGCTAAGAAAGGATAATTTTTATCCTGCTACATTTGGAAGCCATTTATAGAAATTAAACTGTTTGATAGCTTTTATTCCTTGTTTTAAAAGCACTAATATCCTATTAACAAGACTATAGTACTTTTATATCGTCTTACATGACATAGATACTGCTTTACCCTGTTTCCTTTCATGGTGTAGCATGGAAAGATCTACTTTCTGGTACTTGAAACTAAGTTTCTGATCCACTTTAAATTTAAGTAGATGATTTATTTTAACCCAGATTACAAACATAAGGTCTTTCTCCTTATCCACCACATCTTATGGGAAAAGTTAGAGACCAATTTGAATACATAGAAATCATGCACTGTATAAGCCGTACTTAACTCTGGAGAAAAATATGAAAGATATTCTAGCTCCCTCATAAATTTCAAGAGACCCCAACATATATTATATTACATAAAGAGGCAAGTTAAAAGAAAGGGATGTTTTATCTCTACATTAACTAAGTTACTATCTTAGCAAGTGATTAGCCAATATTAATTTAGCTTTAGGAAACCACGCCAGATATTATAGCAAAGAAGGAAATTAATTAACTTGAAATACCATGGCATTATTCAAATATAGGAAGGGCCATTGCTAAAACACTGCAGAACTGTTTTCCAGAATTAAAGACCTAAATTAGTTTACAAAAATCAAAAGAAATGGCAATGTGCCACAATTTGTTTATGGAATTTGTCAAAATGGCTGCCTTCACAAAACACAGTAAGCCAAAACAAAATATGATTTGTTTTTTTCAAGGGCAGAAGTTTGGACTAGAAAATATCTAAGGTCCCTTCCAGCCCTATAATTCTATGATAATAGAGATGATTGTCCTAGGACATGGGTTACTACTTTAATCAGGAATTTTGAATTATGGGTGGCATGATAAGGGATGTTCCATCAAAAAATTTTATTTGGAAAAGAACTGAATCTGTTCTATTTAAAGTGCAGGTAGTCATTCTTGAATAAGTACTCATTCAGTGACTGTCAAAGTTACAAGGGTGCTGAACAAGGGTGACTTATGACAGGTCTTCATAGTTGTGGTCAACGTGTCCCATCTGTCATATGATCACAATTTGGATGCTCGGCAAATTGTCTCATAATTATGACAATTGCAGCTTTAGCCATCATTTGCAACCTTCACTGCTGACTTCTGACAATGTCAATGGAGAAGTTAGCAAGAAATTGCAAATGGTGCTCATGTGTCCATAGGAACTGCATGAAATTCACATAACAAACATAAGTACACTGCCACAACTTCCATCAGGTTGGCACAGTCACATGACACTGTGTTTTACAATCATATTGTTCAACAACAGAGTTGCAGGTGCCAATTACCAGTTAAAGGATTACTTTCATTTTGGATTGTAGCTAAATCATCCATGTTCTTCTGTTGAACTATACTGCAACAACAAAGTGCATTTGAGGTATAAGGTGTAACTATAACAAATTGAAAGGCTGGTGAAGGCACGATATGCAAATGTGGAACCATATTCAGTGGGGAACTGTCACAACTTCAAAAATAGTTGTACATGTAAGATAAACAAAACTGAAAACAATACCTGGTATCTGGGCAAGACATGTTCAGCTGACTAACTTGAAGGAGTCTTTCACACGGCAACAGGTGTTCTCGGGCAAATGAGTTTCCTGAGTGGGAAAGCAGGTTCTGCCTACATAAAGGCCCCAAACTATTTGCCATCTCCATGTCCACCACGTTATTGTCAGACATCAAATTACAATGGCTGTAGCCACCATTCACTGTTAAAAGAAGAAGTGAAAGAAAAAAATAAGTATGAACTCTTTACTGAGAGAGTTGAAGTATCTCTCATGGTTCCCCTCCACCGTATTCCATCTGCTTTTGACAACTGGTTTAATGAAATCAGGAGACAAAATAAAACATTTCACATTAATTGTGATTCCATTTTAAAAGATTTATCTACTCTGAATGATGATTATTGCTTTTTCCAGATACCATTACAGCCTTAACAGGATTCTTTTCAAAAGGAATGAGCACACTACTATGCACCAATGTTTTCTGTTTTAATTTGAACTGTCTTTTACTCAGACAACTAACAGTAAAAATTAAAAGCATAAACATCTTATGAAAACAATCCAAATCAAGTATCAATTAACGCAAAAGGGTCTGCTGAAATAGAAAATCTTGATCCTTTCTCTAAAGTAGCAAGAATAAAGATTGAAAGAAATTCCCAATGCCTAAAATCCCCTGTCCTTTGGGCCCAACAAACCAACCTCAGAAAGTGACAGCATTTTCACCATCTCTGTGGTTCTTGCTTAGAAGAAAAGAGGACTGAAATATCAAATCAAAAGTTGAAGTACTATAGGGTGTCCTGCCAGAGCAGGGGGCTGGACTAGAAGACCTCCAAGGTGCCTTCCAGCTCTATTCTGTTCTACAAATCTCAGAGAAGTATTTTAGAATTTCACTTGCTGCTCAGAATATTTTACACAGGACCCAAGGATGATGATTTTAGAATCTGACAATTACCCTTGTCTTAATATTTGAGTCTCTTTATTAGAATCTAATATTTATTTGTTAAATTTACTTCCTCACAATATCACTGTGGGATTACTCTAGGCAGCTTACAATAATAAAAAGAAAAATGAAAGGAATATAAATAGACCAGAAGTAAAATAATAAAATAATAAAAATAAAATACTGTCATCTCACCTATGTATTAGTTTACTAAAAATGACTTCACAATATGGAAGCTCTAATAATGAAAAAAAATTCTGACTAAAATGGCAAACTATTTTTAAAAAGGATTTCAATATATTTAATTTATACCAATATTAATTAGAAGAAAACTAATTTAAAAAGTCAGATTAAAATATGTTATGATTTAAACAAGAATTTTATTTGTTTACAGGTTAATGATAATAAGTCTTTTAATCACAGCTGCAAATGACATGGGGAATTGTACAGCTTTGGAATTAAGTTTCTTATTTTAAAGATTTCAAGAGAACAGCTTTTAAACTATAAAGTGTACTAACAGATAAATCAATATTTATTATAGGCTTGGAGTAGCACAATAACATACAGAAAAGAATTATATTCCAATATTTGATTCTATTTGAAGAAAATCCCAATTTTACATTGTTAGTTTTTAGACATTAGCAAAATCAAATTGTTCTTTTGACTTATCAATTTATATAGAATTTATTTTTGTATATTCTATACTAATTATATTCTATTGGAATAATGAGTAATTTTCCTTTTTTGCTTAAATAACTATTAGATTTTCAAATAAAGAAATAAAAACTAACACAAACTAATAATTAATATAAAAAAAGAAAGAAGCAAAGAATAAAAAAGTAAAAGCCATAGTGCAGAAAGAAAAAGAAATACAAGGAAATGACTTATGATTTTCTTTTACAGCAGACATCACCATAAGTTTCATTTTTCTGTTGTCTACCATTTGTCACTTATAATTTCTTTTTTTCTGTTTTCATGAAAAAAGTCCAAAGGGGGTTTCCAATGAGCCTTAAAATTATCAATGCCTTTTTTTAATCAAAGTTGTCAATTTTGTCATCCATTGTGAGTAGTGTCAAATCTTTTCATTGTTGTGCATCTAAAAGTTTTACTGCTGTTGTCATATACAGAAATGAAGTTCCATGAAGTTTTTTTCCATGAGTTTTTGGGACAGCTAAGCTGTTTGCTTAGCAGCTCCATAAGGAATATCTCTGGTGTCAACTGTATATTAATCTTTAAGATCTTATAAATTAATACACATAATTGAATCCAAACTTTTAGCTGTTCTATATGTCCACCAAGAATGATAAAGTTCCCCCTTGGTGTTCATATTTCCAATATATATGTCTTAGATGTATAAAGGTACTTCATATAAATAGTTTTCCTTCTTGTGAATGTTAAGGTATTCCACACAGAAATGGAAGATTACTGAAATTTAGCATTCTCAGTCCCACTCTTGATTTTGAAATCTGACTTTATCACTGCTAATTTACTATAGTTTCCTAGGGAGGTTATGTCAAATTCTTGATTAAGTCTAATCAGCTTTGAACCAAATACACTTGGTTTATTGATATCACCCATTCCTATGAGCAAGACTACTGCAGAATGATTGTAACCATTTGCTTCATCACGTAATTTTAATTCCAGAAAGTGAAACACTGTTGGCACTACTGGCAACTAAGAATACAAGGAAGTTATTGAATAAATAGTTACAACTAGCCAGCTTTCTCATTTAAAGTAAAGGTACTAATAATATCTCATGCAAAAAAATGTGAGTGTGAATAAATAAATCCAATCACACTCACAACAGGATAAATTCAGGGGACTTTCAGGTTCCTAAAATATGTTCTCAATATTGCAGTGCAGATTACTGTCATCTACTTTGCACTCTGGCTGGTATTCTTCCACTTATAATTATTACTCTTTCTGAAGTGAAGCCATTACTTTGTATTTCATTCCCTTCCTGTTTCAATACAAACTTCTGTTTTCTTATTTGTAGAAAGAGTTCTTTCTATTCTTGAGTCTGTCTTCAGATTAAAATGGCTAATGGTGGTGTTTCCAGGTAGTCCTCAATTTATGACCAACTGGTCAAAACTATGATGGACCTCCCTGGTGGATACTGTACTTACAACCCAAATTCAAAATTCATGAGGTTATATGACTACATTTCAGGCAGTCAGCAACTACATGCATTTATAATCATTTGGAGCACCCCACAGTCATGTGAACACATACTGCAGTTTTGCTGAAAACCAACATTTTCGTAACTGTAAAAACCAACATTTACTTACTGTATTAAATGAAACACTAATTACTTATTCTCAAAGGCTATCCAATTCCCTAATTATATAATAGGAAAATTAGCATGATTTTAACAATATTACCAAATGGATTATGCCCTGGGTTTAAGACCCTCAATTATGCCAAGATTAAAATAAAAACATCAATCCAATAAATGAGTCGAAGTACAAGATAAAATTCAACAATGGAACTTTACAGTGAAATTGCAAAGGTTGGATGGAAAGGGCAACCAATTCAAACAGAGTTTGTATTTTAGGAATTTACCCAATTAAGAACAATGAACAAATAGTGGTAATGAATGTCACTTAAAACTAATGACTCACATTCCAAACAAATATGGGTTTGAAATATTTGCCTAACCATCCCTAGAGACTTTGTGGCTTTTGTGGCATCTGCCAAATTAAGTCATTTGCTTATTCTTACTATTTTGAGACATCATACACAATGCACCTACAACATGTTTAAAGATAGCTACTTTTTAACTGGCAGCTACAAGTGACAGTATCCTTTCAGAATGAGGCTTTACATGAGACTGATTTGAAATAAATCAAATCATCCATCAGAGCAATCAGCACTTGTCTTGCTCTTACATTTCCAGTTTGTCTTTCCACAACAGACAAGTACCTGTTTATTAGTCTAAGAGAAAATAAAATTTTCCTTTCTTAAAAAAGACTGTTTATAAACCATGCAGATAATGCATTCCTGGCTAGTTAGGATAGGTGAATAGCTACTTTGGAGTGAAGTCATAAATTATGTTCACCACAGAGCTGGATACATACACAGCCTTTCAAGATAATAAAAACTAGTGAGATGGGATAAGAGATTTCTTTTACAGAATGCAACAGTGTTATATTAAAATGCTAAGTTTAAATAACAGCAATGATAAATACAAATTTGTTTGAGTAACCACCGTTTTTTGTTTATGATATAAAAAGGACTAAATGAGTTAAGAAGGGGAGAAAATTAAATAATGAAAAAGTATTTTCAATGTGGACATCAAACACCATTTTTACAGATGCAACCATTCTACGATGTGGTGATCTATGTCTTCAATTAATCTTGTCTCATCGTCAATGAAATCATGTGTCTGTGAATTAATTAATGACTTTCAGTGAGGATTCATGGTAAACTAGGAATCTCTGAAGGAAAAGAGACAGCATTGTGGTAAGATCAAGAATACGTTGAATGGCAATATTATGAATCTGGGAATGAAATCTATCCAGCATAATTTGTTGTATTTTAAGAGGTGATGATAAGTTATTAAAGTTTGAGAGAAAATGATGTTACTAAAATTGTTTATACTTATTGTTATGAACAGCATTTCTTTGTATATATTTTTTATTTACCAATTCTTATTTTTTCTATTTCTTTTTTCTGCAATCTGAACTTCTTTGAGTTTAATTTAAATTAGTTTTTACTATGTTTATTAAAAACTTTAATAAAATTATTTGTGTGTGTTAATTTTCTGCTATTCAAGATTTTAAATTAAGAATCACTGATTCACAAGAAAATTAAATAAGTTGTTCAGTACCAGTCTGTAAAATCCAGCATTTTGTTTTATTAGTTTGTTAATTTTTCAAAGCTCTAGGCTTTGCATATATCATGCTGTACAATATGTCACTTAGTCAACAAAAAAGCCATTGCAGTAAAAATAAGTTCCTTTCCCCCCAGAAAGGAACCTATTTCCTCAACTTAAATTGGCACATCTATCTAGAAATGTGAACAATAAATCTTAAAATAAAAGAATTAAAAAATTAATAACCTTTATCACTTCCAAACTTTTAAGCTTGAACATACAGAACCAAGATCACACACTTTTTTTTAATGCCAAGATGACAAACGTATGGATCCCCTGTTAAACTGCCAGTACACATCATCACCAATCATGCTGTCTGAGATCATCTGGACATGTAGCCCCTTCTATCTGAAGTCCCATAAATATTTCCACAA